TGGGTGTTTCTCAATGTCGAGGGAAGGCTGCTCCGGAGCCACTATTTCAAGCATACTACGTCATCGAGTCCCGCCGAAGGACTGTTCCAATGTCCAGCATACTTGGAATTCTAACGAGACTGGCGTACTTCGTAGCAAGAAATTTCGAGGCTGCACATGTGTAGACTCTGCGGTCTTAAAATCCCCACAATGCTTTGCGCACAGACCAATTTCCAAATCTTTGGTGGAAATTGCGCTCCATCTAAGGCGGAGCCTCGCATATGACGCACACCTGCACACCTGTTAGCCTGTTCCACAATTCTTCGTTTTCCGAGGCTAGGAAGGATTCTTGCCTCGCTTCTGAAGCAAGTGACTCGGAAGACATGTGCTACCAAGCAAGCATCCTCGAGTGTATGACTCACATTGAGCACACTCTCTTCTTTAATCTCTCTTTCTTCCTCTCTCGCTACTCCTTCAACGCAAGTCAAAGTTACAATAGAGGGAACAAGGTTAATATTGAACTTACATTTTTGTCTTAGTCACTAAAATGTCCTCATGTCACTGTAGAGAAAACGCAACAGAGATATACTTTTCTTTGGTCAATTTTTCCAACATCACAGCAAGGAGGGATGAGAGGAAATGGATTTATGTAAGAGTGGACATTCTTACATCTTATGATTCTGAAATGATTCACAACCTGAACAAAATAAATCAAGCAGAATACGAGTTTCACATTGTTTTTGTGTTCAATTGATTTTTGAAAATGGCAAGTTTCTTAAAAAGTAAAAAGGCAGCCAGCCTAAGCCTACCAATTTCATTTTTTGGATTTTATAATTTTTTGAACTTGTTATTCTAAAAGTCACAGAATAGAGAAATCCTGTTACACTTTTTAAGTAAAAATACACTGTGTAACATAAATAAATGTTGCATTTTGTCTAATGTATGCCGATGTGTGTTAACCAGGGAGTTAACGTCATTGAGAATCAAACAATGCTACGATCTTATACACTCCTTACTCTGCTTTTGTGCAGTAATTTCCCACAAGCAGAATGGAGTAGATTCTCAACTTAGCACTCTATGCACTGAATCAAAAATCAATTACGATCCTGAAAGATTCACAGCCCTAATAGCAAGTGTTAAAATTATGTTATTATACTACAGTGCATGAATGAGAACACCAACAGGGAGGAGCAGGCAGAAAAACTTCTCCTTTTCACCGCTCTCTCTTGCTCCTATGCCTCCCTAGTGGGTAATGGTTGATCAATAATAGGATTAAAAACACACACACACACACACACACACACACACACACACACACACACACACACACACACACACACACACACACACACACACACACACACACACACACACACACACTTCAGTAGTTTCATGTTCTCTATGTTTGTGTGTGTGTGTGTGTGTGTGTGTGTGTGTGTGTGTGTGTGTGTGTGTGTGTGTGTGTGTGTGTGTGTGTACAGTACCTCACATGATGTATTGCCCTACTTCTGTGTAATTGGTCTTCTCTGAGGACTTATCCTTTCAATCTCCTCTAACGCCTAAACTCAAACAAACTAAAATGCTCAAGGGCCCAAATATCTGAACATAAACTTTTGGTGTCTTCACACATGGAGGTTTTTCATCAACACATTATATGATATTCAAAGACATAAGGGAACTGTATGAGCCTCCTGTATAATGATGAAACTCCTGACAGGCAGAGAGAGAGAGCTGCGGCTTGTTGAGGCAAAGGCATTACGCAACATTGAAGAGATTAGTGACAAAACAGGACACAGATGCTGACAAAGTCTGCGTCCTCCTTCCTCCTTTTCCTCCTCCTCTTCCTCCTCCTCCTCCTTCTCCTCCTCCTTTTCCTCTTCTTTATAAATCCATTTTCTCAAGCTGGACGTGTTCTTACGCATTTTCAAAAGCTTGGCTCATTAATAATGTATTAATAACTGTAATTGCAGAGATGCATACAAATTACAATAACCTGAAAATGCACCTGCCTGCCTAGAAATAAATGTAAGCCTTGTAAGGATCCTCTCCAAGGTTTAAATGTTCATTATACTGCTCAGCACAAAAGTGTCAAAGTAGAGAGCTAGTAAATACTTCACCTGGGCCTCACAGGCTTTAAAGCTGGCCCTCGGGCTCACTTTGTCTCTCCTTCCTTCAGCAGACATCCATGTGCATCACCTTCTTTAGCATCTTTACAGCAACAACGCAACATCATTAAAGATACTGTTTCCACACCCTATGATCAATGCATCATCTAATGTTTGAACAGATTCCTAGTTGAGTAAATCTAAAGTAAGGAAAGTAAATCTTGTGCATGGACTCAATCTAGCGTGTCGTTTTTCTCATACTGATATTCTGCACAAACTGTGCTGTTGTATTTGCTGTAAAGTGTCTTTACTGTAGGGTATTTTTATTATATGTACAGCACTTTGGCTCGACCAAAGATCGTTTAAAAATGTGCTATATAAATAAAACTTGATTTGATTTGATTCCTGGACATAGAGTGAACATGGCGATAAAAACAATGAAATGATGTTGACATGCTACAACATAGTTTGTCACGATCACCTAGACGAGAGACATAAAGTCAGATAACCAACACAGCAGTATTCATCAGAAGTTTGCTAACTTTTAAAACCATTAGCTTTAGATCAAAGTAAGGCTCTTGCAGCAAATGCCCCAGGTGTTATTTCCTATTCC